GGGTTTAGGGTTTCGGGGTTCAAGGTTTTTTTGGGGTTTAGGGTTCAGGGTTTCGGGTTTAGGGGTCTAGGGCTTAGGGTTTAAAACCCTAAACCCTTTCTCCGCTTCCTATGAGACCTGGGCGCCTGGTCCCTGCATCGGGGGCATTGCCCTTTGCTACCAAGGCCGTGCTCCTGGAGACAAACACCATACTTGCTGGTTTGTCTTTGCAGGGCCCAAAAGGTCTTACAGGCGTTTGTGGGGCTCGGTAAATTTGCCTTTATAATCAGGCCAATTGCGTCTGTGGGATACATGAATGTTTAAGAGGGACGATATGGGATACTGTTAGTAATGGTTCAGAAGTCTGCAGCAGTTGGCTTTGCACGTTTTGTGATTTTGGTGGCTTTCAGGATTGGGCGTGCATGGTTTTCTTGAGGGTTTGAGAGGGGTTTGAAGGTTCGGATGTATAGGGTTTGAAAGCTTTGATGGCGGCTTTCCGGGTGTAGGGAAGTTTAGGGAGCTCAGGTCTTGAGGGTCTGGGTTCAGGCTTCGATGTTAAAGAATGGCTTGCTGTGTATCTCTGCATGCTTTTCCGGCTCTTGCTGATATGGGAGTTTCCGAAAATTAGGGGTGCCTTATTTTGGGTCCTTATACCAATAAGGATCCTACTATTTGGGGGTACTATATTAGGGTCCCCTATTTTTGGAACCCCCCCCCATATGACGGGGCCCTACTCCAGGGTTGGCTCCCTGCGAAGTGTGATACCCTAAGGGTCCATGTACTCATATAGTATATACATTGGCCGCAACGTACCTATGTAGGGACTGCTTTAAGGCCAAAGTATTTACTATTTGGGTGCATGGACCCTTAAGGATAGGCAGGTTGCACTTGGACGCGCATTCAAAGGCCCCCAAATCCGAAATTTCAACCCAGCAAATAGCCAGGATACGATGACCTGATTATGGTTTAGCTCACTGGCAGCAAGCAGACAGCCAGTGCAGTCAAACATGATGCAGCTATACACCAAACACTTACCTGCGTATGAATTTCCAAATGAACATCTGGATGCAATACAGACACATGTATGTATTCATGCATGTATGCATGCTGAACCAAACCACTTCCTACACAAACTACAGCAAGCAACGATACATGCGGACATCCATCCGTCCCTTCATGCATCCGTCCATCATGCATGCCTCCATCCCTCCATCCATCTCTCCCTCCATCTCTCCATCCATCCATCCTTCATCCATCCATCCGTCCATGCATACTACATGCATGAACACATGCATCGTACATACAAGCCTATCTAAGACATACATACATACATACATACATACATACATACAGACATACATACAGACATACATACATACATACATAGATACACACACACACGCACTTACATACGGACATACATGCATGCATACATACATACATACATGCATACATGCATATTATATATGGATTTCGATATGCACGTGCGCACACGAACTGACGAAGGTACATGTCGGCACGTACTCGTACATTCGTA